GCGAGGCAAGTGCTTCAAAGGGTGACGCTCTGCCACGAACACACCCTTCATGACACGCATACGCACAGCGAGACCCTCCCCCCCCCCCACTCCCCACAGCAGTAACCATGGTTGCCGATACCAAGTTCTACGACGTCCTGGGCGTGTCGCCTGACGTGTCTGAGGGCGATCTCCGCCGCGCGTACCGTCGCCTGGCCCTCCAGTACCACCCGGACAAGAACCCCAACTCCGAGGACAAGTTCAAGGAGATCACCGCCGCGTATGAGGTCCTCTCGGACCCGGAGAAGCGCGAGGTGTACGACCGCTACGGTCTCAAGGGCCTCGAGGGCGGCCCCGGCGGCCCGGGCGTCGACGTGTCGGACATCTTCTCGCAGATGTTCGGTTTCAGCGCCGGCGGCGGTGGCCCGGCGGCCGAGCGCCGCGGCAAGAGCATCCAGCACCGCCTGCGCGTGACTCTGACCGACCTGTACAAGGGCAAGACCAGCCGCCTGTCCCTGCGCCGGAGTGTCCTGTGTGGCGGTTGCGCCGGGTCCGGCTCCAAGAGCGGCCAGTCGTACAAGTGCCACACTTGCAATGGGCGCTGCTTTGTCACCAAGCTGCACCCCATCGGCCCGGGCATGATGCAGCAGATCCAGATGGAGTGCACCGCTTGCATGGGGTCCGGCTTCACGGTGCCGGCCGCCGACCGGTGCCCCGAGTGTGATGCCAAGCGCGTCAAGACCGAGCCCAAGACCCTGGAGGTGCACATCGAGCCCGGCATGCAGGACGAGCAGCGCATCACCTTCCGCGGCGAGGCCGACCAGGCCCCCGGGGTCCTGCCCGGCGATGTGGTCATCATCCTGGACCAGGCCGAGCATCCGGTTTTCAAGCGCAAGGGCTCGGACCTGATCATGAACCTGTCCATTCCCCTGTCCGTGGCCCTGACCGGTGGCGAGGTGGAGATCAAGCACCTGGACGACCATGGGCTCTTCCTGTCCTTCCCGGCCGGGCAGATTGTCCGCCCTGGCGATGTGAAGCTTGTCCCGGATGAGGGCATGCCCACGCATGGCCGCTCGCATGGCCGCGGTAACCTCATTGTCTTCCTGTCGGTGGACTTCCCCCCGCCCACTTGGTACAACCCCCAGACGGCGGAGAAGCTGCGTGCCCTGCTCCCGGCCCCGGCCAAGGTCGACCACAACAAGCCGAACTTCTACTCCGTCAACTCCGAGGACATCGACATCGACAACTACCACTTCACCCAGCCCGGCACCAGCAGCGCCGCCCACGACGACGACGATGACCATGGCGGCCGCCATGGCGCCGTCCCGGGCTGCCACCAGTCGTAAGTGCGTCGCGTGTGCCTCTGCGCCCTGCGTCGCCTCCTCCCCTCCTCCCGACCTGTGCCCTCCTCTCTTTCGCCGCTTCTTCTTTCCCCTTCCTCCGGCTTTCGGTCTCTCGCTCGATCTCGCTTGCGCGCGCATCGCCTCTCTCCCTCGTGTATGCTGAGAGAGAGAGCGAGCGAGCGACGTAAGGGCCAACCGATGAGGCGATGGCGGAGAGAGCTGGGTGGCTCCTTTTGTGCCTGCCCCCCCCTCTCCCTCCCTCCCCATGTTTCTACGTCCTTCCCGGCCTCCTCTCATTTCCCTCTCGCCGTGCCTTTTTCTCCTCACTCCTAGTTCTCGTGTCCCGCGTGCCTCCGTGTGTCGTGCCATGTGTGTATGCGAGCAGGGCACGTGTGAGAAGGCAGAGAGAAAGAGAGAGAGAGAGCAAGCGAGTGAACGCGGGGAGTGTGTTGAAGGGAGCGAAAAGAGGAGAGCAGACGACGCCATATCCGGCAAGCAGATAATATGGCCGAGCTGAGGGCTCTCCCAAGGGGAGAGCGCGCCTGTCCTTGTTTTTACACATACATACACCCAAACAAACATATATACACAATCATCAATGGATGCTACCCCCTCCCCCCCCCCCCTCACCTACAGAACATGCGCATGCACCTTTTTCCGTGCATGTGGCTTGCTTACCGCCCCTGCTGATGTTTCTCCCTTCCCGGGAGAGGTTCAGAGATTGCTGGGGCAGGAGAGGGAACGACGAGGAGGCCAACGAAGAGGGCGCTGCGTGGGTGTGGGTGTGGGTGTGGGAAGGGGCTCGCTCCTCGGTCAGACATCTGCGGAAGCTCATTTGTCCCCTTTCGAGGGCTAGGGGGGAAGTACTGACGATTGCCGAATGTTGGGGGGGGGGGGGGGTGCTCCCTCTTCTGTGGCCAGCATCCGTCTCAAGGAACAGCGCGAGCATGCAAAGGTCGGTCCGTGGGAAGGACACCCGGCGGTTGGCTCGGCTCGGCTGGGGAGGGGGGTGGGCGCGGGCGACTCTCTCGCCGTGCGTCCTGCTGCGGCGGGCCAGGCGGGTGGCCGCCGCCGTCCATTGGCACCGTCGGCGTGACCCGCACACGTGACCCGGCCGACGACCATGCGCGCCGCGCCATCTCCACGCGTCGCACTTGCGCCTCGGTTGCGGCGCGCGTGTGTTTCCTTGCCAGCCCCGCGTTGGGCCCTCTGTACTCCTTCTTCGCCCGCCTGGTCTCTTGGCGAGTGTGTGCGTGTGCGGGTCTCGCCCCCCTCAGGGAGAAGTACGCTTGCTGTGAGGCAGGAGGGGGGGGGGGGGTACCTTCCAGTATATTGCTGCGGGCTGTTGTTCGCACCCTCAATGCGTCTCGTACCTCGCGCTGGGGCAGGGGCGGAGGACGGCCGAACTGCTTAAGGCCACCCGCCACACATCTCCAGGGCGATCGTGCCTCCCAGGCCATCGTACCTCTCTCCTTCTCTCCCTCTCTGCCTCCCTGCCTTCCTGCCTCTTGCCCCCTCCCCTTTCCAGTCCCTTCCACGCCCTTCACCTCCATCTCCCCTGTGTTCTTTTCTCCGTCCGGCGCCCCGTTGGCCCTCCAGATTTCTGTGCGTGCGCGCGCTTCCACGCCCCTCGGTTCCCTTCGCCTTTTGCCCCTGTGCCGGCTGCCCGTTGCCCACTCAACTGACTCTCTTTCTCCCCCTTTCTTTCTTTCTCTCTCTTTCATCATTTCTTCCTTTCCCCTCCGTCCCCGGTTGGCGCAGACACCATGCGGCCGCTCACTGACGAGGAGACTCGTGTTTTTTTCGAGAAGCTGATGAACTAGTGCGTGCCTTGGCCTCTTTCTTTCTTTCTTTCTCTCTCTCTCCCACCAAGATGGTACACGCGTGTATTTGCGTGTGTGTGTATGTACAATGCCTGTGGCACTAACCCATTCCCTCCTTCCCTCTCTCTTTCCCGTGCACGCACGTGCGCATGTTCCTCCACCCTCCCGCTCCCCCCTGAACAGCATCGGGGATAACATTTCCTTCCTGGTCGAGCGGCCAGACGAGCCACACTGCTTCCGCCTTGTCAAGGATCGCGTCTACTACATGAGGTGCGCTTGCTGCCTCTTCGCTCCCTGCGTGACTCTGTCTTCCTCTGCCCCCCCCCCCTTTCTCTTTCTCTCTTCCTCTCTCTCTCTCTCTCTCTTCCTCTCTCTCTCTCTCTATCTCCTTCTGACCCCCACCTCATCGCCCCTGCCCTCGGATAACCCACCGCCTTCTCTCCCTCCGCTCGCCCGCCCAACAGCGAGAAGGTGATGCTTTGGTCCACCAACATGGCCCGCGACAACCTGCTGGCCCTGGGTACCTGCTTCGGCAAGTTCACCAAGACCGGCAAGTTCCGTCTGCACGTCACCGCCCTCGACTACCTGGCCCAGTATGCCAAGGTGCGTGTGGTGGTGCAGCACCCCCCTCCCTCCGGTGGCTCCCGTCTTTGTTTTCCCTGTCGCCCAAAGAGACACGGGGGCGGCCTCCTCTTTCCTCCTTGCCCCGGTGCTTCTCCTGCCTCCACCACTGACTCGCAATCGATTCTCCCCCCTCCTCCTCGCCCCTCGCCCCGCACAGTTCAAGGTCTGGATCAAGCCCAACGGCGAGATGTCCTTCCTGTACGGCAACCACATTGCCAAGGCCCATGTTGGCCGGCTGACCGATGACATCCCCATGTATGCTGGGGTGGTGGTCTTCAACATGGCCGACGTGCCGCTGGGCTTCGGCGTGGCGGCCCAGACGACCGAGGCCGCGCGCAAGCTCGACCCGACCGCCATCATGGCCTTCCACCAGGCCGATGTGGGCGAGTACCTCCGCAGCGAGGATACCCTGGCGTAAGAGCCAGGGCCGGGGAGTGGCCCGAGGGACCGGCAGCCGGCCGGACCGGGCCCGGGGGGTCCACCGGGATGCCAGGCACCCGGCGGTAGCATGGACGTGTGTCCGCTGCGCTGCGGCGACATCCTTCCTCATTCCCAGCATGATGCCTCCTTCTGGTTGTGCGCGCATCGCACCGCTCCGGGGCGCTTGCACATGGCCGAGCACCGAGTAGTGGCACCGGGCCGAGGTCTTCTCCTCCCGGGGACGTGACTTTCTCCCCTCGCTGCAGTAGAGACGCCGCGCGCTGGCGAAGCAGCATGTGCACCCGGTTCCTCCCTCGTGCCCTCCCTTTGCGTCTTTTCCCCCTTCCCCCCCCCCCTCTCCTCTGTCCTTCTACCTCTCCACCTCCTGGATCCACTTGTTTTTTCATAAATATATCGTCAAAATTCGTCCAACAGTGTGTGCTGTGTCCGTCTTTTGTCGGCCTTCTCGTGAGCTGCCAGGAGCGGGTGCGGGGCAAGGGGGGAGGGTAAAGATCAGGTGGCGCGCGGGCGCCAGTCAGTGCGATCTCTCTCTCTCTCTCTCTCTCTCTCTCTCGCCCGCTCTTTGTCCTCCTTTCTCGCGCATGCCTGGGCCCTGCCCCGCGGGAGGGCATTTGTCTGTTTTGACAGGGAAGGGCAGGGGTGGCGAAGTTGCCTGTGCTGGACCGGCATCGGACACGCTCGATCCCATTTTCTTGTACTGCCCGAGCGTGGCTTCTGCGGATTGAATATCGACTCACCGGGCCGGCCCTGGTCTCCCGACTGGCTGGCACGGAGGACCCTCTGTCGGACGGCACTGTTGAGCTCCCTGGTCAAGAGGACTCCTTTACCAGGTCCATGCATCGGCATACGCACGGATTTCACTTGTCACATTTGCTCCCCCGGAGGAGGACGAAGAGGAGAAGGAGGAGGGGCCATCTCGGGTGCGGATGCGGATGCGGATGGGGCAGGGGGGGGGG